ATTGTCACACACACACACACACACACACACACACACGCACACAAACACACACATACGCAAACGCGCACAAACATCCAGAACACACATAATATAATGTACATTAATAAACACGCGCGCAGGCAGTTGCTCACAACCACACCCCTGCTAATTAAAAACCCTGCCTCCAATATACCCACCTTTTACCTCTTTTCCCCTCTTTCTTGCCTGCTTTGTTGTTGTTGGTTTTTTGTTTTAGGGTAATATTTTTTGGTCAAATGTAATATTTGTGAGGCGTGCTGACAAAATGAGTTACTTCTCACAATCCACAAATGGAGATATTGACCAAAAATCGACACTTGAGTCAAATTTGTAGGTTTGTTATTGATGCAATATTCATAAAGTAGTACATGCCTTTTGCTATTTCATACTTACAAATTATAAAAAACTGCACCTCTAAGCATGATGTATCTATTTCCATAGAACCCTAATCCGAGAAGTAACTCATTAGTCAGCACACTCCACATTTGTGTATAGACTTTTCCTGTTATCTTCAAGTATTTTGAATCTTTTCCATCTGTTCAATCTTAGTATCATGATGGTGGGCAGAGTATATTAATTACTTTCCGAATCATATGTACTGAGTGTAGCAACGTGTTGAGCTTCAATAACCGCTTTTCAAGATCAACAACAACGACTTTAAGAAACAACAACAACAACTTAACAACGACTTCAACAATAACAACAATGACAGCAGCAACGACGACAGCGATAACAACTCCAACAGCAACAACAACAACAACCAAAAAATAAACAACAAAACAAACCAAACAACATTAACAGAAAGGAAAGCAGATAATAACGAACAACACTCTACAGGTAGCTGGCATGCTGGTTTATTTCATCCTCACTGGTGGGCGGCATCCGTTTGGGGCCAACCCATTGGAGGCCGAGGTCAACATTGTCCGGTCCAGCAGCCAACTTGACCACATCAGCGAGGAAGCTAACGATCTAGTGGCCAGCATGCTTCAGGCAGACCCAGCCTCCAGGCCTAGAGTGGAACAATGCATTGAGTGAGCATAAATTGAAAAGATAAAAAGAAACTGTCTATAAACTGCCCGGCTGTGTATAATGAAAAAAAAAAAGAAGAAGTTTCGTTTGATCATTCTCTGGGGGTGTATGTGTGAAAAAAAGGGGATGGGGCATTTGTCTTTGACAGGTTTATTTTGAAAGACGTCTGTCTTGTTTATTTTTGCACTTTAATGAAAAAAACAAAAAACCGACAAACAAACAAACAAAATCTCCTAAAAAACAAAAAAACAAAACAACATATTATTATCGTCATGCTCTAGACCCTAAACGACGCACGTAGAGCAAAAACAATTGCTGGGATTTATTTGTTTATTAGGAGGGGGTGGGGTTGGATTTACCCTTCATAAAGTCGTCTCTGACAATAGTTGTCGGAGAGTGCACACGGTAGTTACTGTTCCTGTAACGTATACGTTATAATTTATCATAACGAGAAGAACACAGGAAAAACCGGCAGTGCCACAACATGGAAACAATGAGAAAATCAATTTTCAAAGCTTATGAATTCGTGGCTGATTAACTGATTGACTGACTGACTGGTTGATTGACCAATTGGCTAATTGATTGATTAATTGATTGATTGATTGATTGATTGATTGCCAAATAGGAGCCCCAAAACTCGTGGAATTTATTTCAGGCACCCGTTTTTCTGGTCAGGAGAAAAGAAATTCCGACTTATTTTGATCGTTGGATCCGATGTGCTCACGGAAATGAAGACAGGGTGGGCTACATGACGTCAATGTTCTTGCCTTTTTTATTGTTTGGTTTTGTTTTCTTTTCCCCCAGATATTTTGTTATGGTTCGAATGTTGATTCTGCCAATGTGGTTCATGTGATATTTTTTTCTCTTTTTTTTTGCAAGCACTTTGAAGTTACACACACTTTATCAATAATTAATTTACTCTTCATTTCCAGAAAACATCTTGATCCTCATCACGCATTATAGCTTTAACTTGTACAAACCTTTCATGTGTTTTATATGTGGAGGAAGAGAGAGACACCGACACAAAGAGAGGGTGTGATAGATAGATAGATAGATAGATAGATAGATAGATAGATAGATAGATAGATAGATAGATAGATAGATAGATAGATAGATAGATAGATAGATAGATAGATAGATAGATAGAGTGAGAGAGAAAGAGAGAGACTGGGAAAGAGAGAGAAAGAGATAGATAGATAGATAGAGAGAGAGAGAGAGAGAGAGAGAGAGAGAGAGAGAGACCGAGAGAGAGAGAAGAGAGAAAGAGAGAGAGAAAAGAGAGCGAGAGAGAGAGAGAGGGGGGGGGGTGAGAGGGAGAAGAGAGAGACTGAGAGACAGAGAGAGAGCAAAAGAGTTTACTTTTCCCAAGAAAGTTATTTTCTTTATTCTGCATCGTTTCCAGAGTGGCTCTTACTGGGACTGGCGCGCCTACAATGATGGAAATACTGACTCTCGTGGACATATCTGACGTCAGTCCAAACTGGGTACATTTTTTGACTCTATTTATTTGCTACCCCAGGATTACGAAGTTCTGTCGGCTGAGAAAATAATTTATTTGGAGAAATGTAGCGTAATTTTCTTTTGTTTCACAACATATCAAGCTTTACTGCATGCAACTCTTTGATCATTTTGATGACCACTCCGGACAATCTTACGATTTTGACAAAGCAGATAGAACATTTCGTTTCTTACCTCATGGTTTAAGTAACTCAAAAAGGCCGAAAGTGTCGGATAGATCTTTGTAATTCTGAGGTAGCAAATTTTGGATTGTACTCCTTATGCATTCACGCCTTTTATGAAGGAAATAAGAAACTTATTTTTTGATGAATTTGTTTTTTACTCCCCTATCGACACATTTTAGATTGTTTCGGAGGCGGTCTTCGACCCAAACCTGGCTAAGGGAGATATGACGTCCCAGAAGAAAGACCAAGATTCTCGATAGAAATTTCTTCCCACCGGGCTCGGAAATCGTACCAGGGTCTCTTGAGTGCGACAGTGAAGCGCCTAACCTCTACATCACAGAAACTAATCTCTCTCTCTCTCTCTCTCTCTCTCTCTCTCTCTTTGCCTCTCTCTCTCTGCCTCTCTGCCTCTCTCTCTCTCTCTCTCTCTCTCTCTCTC